ATTGTGTGCTGTTCTTACCTGTTCATGAGAGTGGGTCTCTATCATGATGGTCTCTACTGGATAACTGCTGCTGAGCTATCAGAAAGCTATTCTCCCAGTATCAGACTACACAGGAAACCCTGGCTCCTTCCCCCACAGTTAAGAGGATGGTGTGGCTCTGAGTGGGGCTCTGGGGACTCAGAAGTCCCTTGCAGAAGGTGCTCTTATCTTTCCCATTTTGCACCAATGTGCACCTCTCCTTTAACGAGGGCTTTCTCCACTGTCTTAAGTTCCACCAGCTCCACGTGCCCTTCATTCCCACTTCTAGGTGACCCAGCTCTGTTCTATTTCAAGTGAAGCTCCATGTCAAATCCTGCCTCCTCCCAGAAGCCTTTTCTAGATACACCAGCCCCACCCATTGCCAGGTTAGCCTAGAGCAGAAAGGGCCAGGACATTTAGCGGGCCTAGGGCAGGCTAGTCTTCTTGGCCCTGCCAGAGAAATGGAAAGGGGGAAGGACACTTTGGACTTGGAGCTGTTTTTCTGCTAGTCACCCAGTCTGTGCCCCAGCCCCACCAGGAACCAGGGGTGGTTCTGAAAGTCTGGCCTAAAACAGAGTTGAAGTCAGGGCCCAAACCCTGATGACACCACGCAAAGTGCCTAACAATCACATAGTATATTTCTATAAATTGTAGCACTTATATACAGTGTAAATAATAATGGCAATGTCAGTCCCCAGAGCTGCCAATTTCTGACTGTGTAACTTAGAATGAGTTCTTTACTTGTTCATCAGTTTCCTCCCCTGACCTGCAAAATAAAGATTGTGGTTAATTCATTTACTTGATAAATAATTATTGAGCAACATATTCTGTTCTAGGTACAACTAAGTCTGTCATTTCGTGTTTGTTAAAAGATGTAGCATGGTGCCTGGCATATACTAGGTTGTCAATAAATGTCAGTTTTCTTACACATGTCTCAGCTGTGGAAGGAGAGATGGGTGGGCGTGGGAGGGGCTGGGACAGAGAAAGGGAAGTCAGGAGTGGAAAGGGTCCTGTTGCCTCTGGAATTCCCAGCCTCACTACACCCACTTTCCCTTCTTGTTGAAAAGGCCTCACTAAGGACAGGGGATGGTGCTGGGATCTCTGAATAGTTTACCCTCCTTTCTGTCCCTTGACCCCATTAGACCACTTCTGTGGACGACATCATCTGTCCCTCATCTATAAAATCCGGAGAGTGATGCCACCTCATTTTCAGACACCAGGAACATGGCAATGTGCCTGCCCTATGAATGCAGTGTCAGGTTGGGACCCCCAGCCTTCCCAGGACATGCCCCAGAGTGGTCTCCTCCCTAAACTGGCTTCCCTCCCAATTCTGGCTTCCCTCCCACTTCTGGCTTCTTTCCTTGGCATCCCAGACTAGACCCAGCAACAGCTATGGCTCCCTTAGTGCTGAAAGCCCATACCCTTCAGTTTTGACTTTCTCCAGCCCCAAGGCACACCAGACCAGACCCTCACAGGGGAGTTGTGTGTATCTGTGTGCGCAAGCAGTATGAGACCTGGCACACAGGCGGTCTGCAATAAAAGCTGATTGAATGAATGCACAGTGAATACCCCTCTGCAAATGGGGCTTGTTTATTCATTCAACAAACATTTATTGAACCCATAATCCATTTGGTGCCAGACTCTGAGTCAGGGGTCATGACATTCAGGTTAACAGTAACCAAGTTCTCCAAAGACTGAGATGTGTTCATATGTTTCCTCACCCCAACACTCCCCTCACCCTAAAGGCCCGCCTGGCTCTCAGGCCGCCCAGCCCCCACCATTACCTCCAGTGACCAGGTATTTTAACTCGAGGCATTTTAACTGCAGTAGATGTTTGAGTGCTAAGCCACTGCATTTGGGGTTGAGTCCTGGTTCCGTAGCCCATCCTGTGTTCCCTTAGGCAAATTACTTCACTTCCCAGAGCCTCAGTTTCCTCATCTGGAAGCTACTTAGACGTAAGTAACATTGCTTATCTCATACGTGCTGTGCGGAGTAAATGAGATGAGACATACACTTAGAACAATGCCCGGTGCCTAGCACGTGCCCAGTGGACATGAGTTATTCATCTCCATCATCAGGTTCCAGCTCCCTCTGGCCCTCCACAGCACCACTCAGCACAAGCCTGTGCACACAGTAGGTGGTCAGTGGAACAGGACTTCCTGGAAGCAGAGTGATCCAATGGAACATCCTGGGTGAAGAAACCCAGAAACTGGCAAAGCTTTGGAGGCAGCAAAGGGCAGCAAAGGGCTGTACCTGGAAGGTCTGGAGGAAGGACCCAAGGGATGGCAGCGTCTACCCCAAGGACAGGAAGCTCACTACCCAGAAGCAGCCCATGCCACGGCTCAGCAGTGTTGAAAGTCAGAATTCTCTCCATCCCTAGCTGGACACATTCTGTGTTTGAAGTCAGAAGATGCCACGGGGACTGGGTGCGGTGGCTCATGTCTGTAATCCTAGCACTTTGGGAGGCCGAGGCGGGAGGATCACCTGAGGTCAGGAGCTCAAGACCAACCTGGCCAACATGGCGAAACCCTGTCTCTACTAAGAAAATACGAGAATTGGCAGGGCGAAGTGGCTCACGCCTGGAATCCCAGCACTTTGGGATGTCGAGGAGGGCGGATCACAGGGTCAAGAGATGGAGACCATCCTGGCCAACATGGTGAAACCCTGTCTGCACTAAAAATACAAAAATTAGCTGGGCGTGGTGGTGCGTGCCTGTAGTCCCAGCTACTTGGGAGGCTGAGAAAGAATTGCTTGAACCTGGGACGTGGAGGTTGCAGTGACCCGAGATCATACCACTGCACTCCAGCCTGGGCGACAGAGCAAGACTCCATCTAAAAAGAAAACAAAAAACAAACAAAAAAAGAAGCCACAGGGATCCCACCCACTAACAGGAGGCCCAGACTGAGTGTAGCAAAATTATGAAGCCAGCCAAGCACTACCTATATCCCACTTCCCCCTCGTCCAGGACATACTCCCACCGCCGCCCCATTTGGGGCAAGCAGCCAGAGGGGAAGCAGGGGGCAACTGATGGACATTAGCCACGACCACAGAGTCACACAGAGCCAGCGTGGGGTGGGGGAATCCCACAGCTGTGTCAGAGACCCCTAGCTCTGGCCCTCAGTTTCTTCCTCTGTGAAATGGGAACTATTCTGTATTCTTTTTCTTTTCTTTTCTTTTCTTTTTTTTTTTTTTGAGACAGAGTCTTGCTCTGTTGCCAGGCACCAGGCTGGAGTGCAGTGGCGAAATCTCAGCAATTCTCCTGCCTCAGCCTCCCAACTAGCTGGGACCACAGGTGCGTGCCACCATGCCCAGCTAATTTTTGTATATTTTAGTAGAGGCGGGGTTTCACCATGGTCTCGATCTCTTGACCTCATGATCCGCCCGCCTCAGCCTCCCAAAGTGCTGGGATTACAGGCATGAGCCACCGTGCCTGGCCTATTCTGTAGATTTCTTTTCCCTGGCTATTGCTAAGATGAGAAACCGTAAATCTGAAAGTGATTTTACCATGAGAGGTGAAACACAAGCCTCAGAGAAAGAACTGTTATGTATATCTTTAGCACCAGGTAGGCCCATTCCTGGGCGGGGACTGCCACCTCCTCACACTCAGGGTGGGGCAGAATGCAGCTGGGGCCTCTCCCCAGAGGAGCCCCTGGCACTCCTCCTCTGAACTGGTCCTATCACTGATCAGCACAAAATGCCTGAGGGTATCCTGGGGCTGACAGAGGGCCTTAGACCCCTGGTTCTCAGGCCTGAGCTGGGAAGAGCTGGCCATGGCTTGTGTCGTTCCTGGATTTCCACACTGGTGGCTGCACCCTGGCTAACTCTAGGGCTCCGATCTCACCATGAGCTTGAGGAACAAGCCCCACACTGCAGAGCCTCTTGGTCTGCCAGCCTTGTCCAGATCATATCCCCTGCAACTGCTCCAGACTGGCCTGCACAAAAAAATCTCACCGTCTGCCCACGGCCAGGTCTGGATAGCACCTCCTCAGGCAGGGGCAGTGGGTGCTGTCAGGCCTGCTGGTCAGGCTGCCTCTGGACAGACACTGGGGGCTGTAAAGCTGCCTTCATTGAAATATGCAGCAGGGAGGCCCCCAAGGAGTGATGTCCTTGCTATGCTGCCAGCCCTACCTCCCTGCTCTGAGCAAGGGGCCGTGAATTAAGCTGCAGTCTACTTCCGACCTCGAGCTACTGCAAGGGACCAAGCAATGCAGTGTCTTCCACCCAGGGGTGGCTCCCAGTTGGACAGGAGTGTCTTCTTTGGCCATCCCACTCAAGGCCCCTGTGCCCTGGAAATCACTGGCCATCTGGGTTGGGGCTGCCCTGAACACAAGGCACATCCAGTGCCTTTAGTCTGTCAAGTCCTTTCACAGTCGCCATCTCGCTGGAGCCCCACAGCAGCTGGTGAGGTAGGAGAAGACTACTAGACCCATTATATAGAGGAGGTAGATAGGCTCAGAGAGGCAAATGAACTTGCCCAAGGTCACACAGCTGCTAGCTAGCAGAGCCAGGCACAGCCTGGAAACCACTTATTCATGGGGCAGAGTAGCACAGGCTTTGTGGCAGGTACCAAACTACTCTAAACCTCAGTCACCTCATTTGAAAAATGGGGACAGGGTGGGGCACGGTGGTTCCAGCCTCCTTTGGGAGGCTAAGGTTGATGGCTCACTTGAGGTCAAGAGTTCAAGACCAGCCTGGCCAACATGGTGAAACTTCGTCTCTACTAAGAATACAAAAATTAGCCAGGTATGGTGGTGCACACCTGCAGTCCCAGCTACTCTGGAGGCTGAGGTGGGAGAATCGCTTGAACTTGGGCGGCAGAGGTTGCAGTGAGCCGAGATGGCCCCACTGCACTCCACTTGGGTGACAGAGTGAGAGAAATGAGGATAATCATTCCTGTCTTGTTGGGTGATTGTGGTGATTAAATGAGATGATGCTATAAAATGTATTCAGCATAGAAGTAGCACGGAGACCTGCTCATTAAATGTGAGCAATATAATTGTGATTATTATCCCCAAAGATACTCAGATGCTGTCGCTGTGCCAGCCATGCCCCAGATGAAGCCCTGAGGCCCCTAGGCTGTAGCCTCGTCTTTGTTCAGGATCTGCTGAGGGGGGCTCGGGAGCTGGGGGTGGAGAGGTGGGCACAGAGTGGGACCACTGGCCTCCTTTCCGAGAATGCCCACCTGCTGGAGGCGGCCAGGAGCCTGTCTATGGCCCTAATTTGTAGCCCCATGGAAGTGGCTGCCTAATTCCTCGCACAGAACTCCGGTCTGCTTAGGGCCATGCTGGCTGAGGCTTTGCCCTGAGTCTTTGGTCTTGGTCTCAGGACCAGGCTGAGAATGGGAGCTGAAAGGATCGGGAGGGGTCCAGACCCTCCAAACAAACCCCTGCCCAGCCCAGGTGATCCTCCAGGCTCTGTGGATGCCCAGCGGCCCAGCATGGAGGCCAGCTTGCCATGCCCCTATGTCCCAGGCAACCCTAAGATGGAAGGGGGTGAGGCAGGGCTGTGTATACCCAGGTAAATCTGCCTTGGAGTAGAAGGAGGGTGGGTGCAAGTGATGCAGGGTCTGGCCAGAGCGATGCCACCCCCAGGCCCCGAGTCCTCAGTCTCCAAACCAGCCTGACTGTGAGCCCTGGCCTAAAGGGACACCACTCCCTTTAGAGCCCGACTCCTGCCGGGGAGTCCACTCCAGCACATGGCCCTGGCCAGCAGCCAGACTCCTCCACGGAGTTCAGGAGCTAGCAAGGGGAGGGCCAGACCTCCCGTCAGATTTACATACTTTCAGACACCCCCTTCAGGAGCCCTGCAATGAGAAGGGAGGGAGGGAGGAAGGGCAGTCCTGGCCACACTTCCTGGGACATAGGAGGCCAGTGGGCATCTTCGTGTCTAGGAGGAGCTCTGTGAAAGCTCTGGGGCCTGTGGGGCCAGATCCTTAGTGATTTTAAATTTTATTATGACTTCATTTGTTTAAATATATATATATATATATATATTTATAGCTCTATGTGCCCACCGCCCCCGGCCCCCTCCCCAGCCCCTAGTTTTTCCCCCTGGCTTTCTGTCTAGTGGCTGTGTAGGGCAGCACCGTCTGCGTGCTCTTGTCTGACACTGTCTGGGTGCTGCTGTTCCTTGTGACCCTTCGAGTCTGTTCGGGGGCCAAGGCAGAGCCTGAGCGGTGGCTGGTCAGTGGAGAGCGCCGTGACTTGTAGGGGGCTGGGGAGGGCTTGTGGGGGCCTGCGTGGGCCTCTGTATGCACAGGCTCAGGGGGCAAGCCCACCTCCTCCTCCTCGGCCTCCTGCTCGCCGTCCCCCTCCTCATCGTCACAGCACAGAGCATGGTAGAGCACTTTGTCACTGAACCGCACCCTCTCCCGCGTCCCTGGGGTCCGCTGGGGCAGCTGGCTCTTCACTGTGGGGCCAGCGCCGAAGGCCTCCTCGCTGGAGGAGTCTGGGGTCTCCACTCGTGGCCCATTGGGGATGGGCGTGCCACCATTCATGAAGCGGTAGTCAGGGCCAGCCCCTGGCCGAGTTGACTCAGGACCGTCCACGGAGTCCGAGGGGGTTGAGACGTCCAGGAAGGAGCAGAACTCCCAGCTGTCTGAGAGGATATCGGCTGTCATGAAGTCCAGGTGGCCCAGGTCAAAGGGGCCGCCCACGCCCGCCTTGTCACTGCTAGAGGTGCTGCTCACAGTGGCCGTGGTCCAGTCGTCCGGCTCCAGTTCAAAGTCGAAGTCTGAGGTTAGCTTATCGATCTGGCTCACCACCTGACCAGGGAAGGGGAGAGGAGATGAGAGGGGCCAGGTGGGGCCTTGTGTCAGCCAGGTATGAGTGTGTCTCTGCCCCGTCCCTGTAGACCCCCTGGCTGGCGAGCATACCAGACAGGGGAGAGCCTGTAGGAAAGTGACTGGCCTGGAGGTCACAGGTTTGTTTGCCCTGTGGAGGGCCCAAGTTAGACCAGGCTGGACAGAGCTGGTTCCGGCCCTTCCCAAAGGTCTGTTTAGCACTGTTCAGTTCCTTTGGGAGAGGGAACTGCTTTCCAGCCCTGCATACCTTCCATTCACTCACCTGCTCTGGGGGCAGCCCAGGTGATCAGGGACTAATCTTCCTTAGTTTGAGAGGGGGCCATTTCAGAGGGACTGAGGCCCTCCAGCAAGCCCATTCCACAAAGAGCTAAGCAGCCCACACACTCTCAGAGAAGAAATACTGTGGGTGATCACAAGGAAGACCCCGTATGGGCTTTCTAAAGCATCCTGGACCAGTCCTTGCAGCTGGCCAGTGACTGTCGCCCCTGGGTCTCCACCATCCCTCAGGGCGAGAACACCAGGTGAACAGCACTGGCTGGCTGGGTCCTCCCACCCCCGCCCCCATCTCCCAGAACCTCCTCACTCCTTCCCCTTCTCTGCCCACTGACAAGTGGAGATCAATCCCGGCTTGCTGGGAGAAGGAATAAAGCAAGCATTATTTGATAAGCAATAAAGAAGCCATCTATTCTGGGCCCAAAGCTGCTTGTTCAATGCACTCAGGGGGCAGCTCAGCTTCGGAGGTCGCTGCACCCCACCCTGCCTCGCACAAAGCGAAACCCTCGGCTTCTATACAGGCAGCCCTGCCTCGGGAGACTCCCTCGCCTGGGTGGCCACCGTCAGCACATAAATCAGGGAGGAAGACAGTGGGGGAAAGAGGGAAATCCAGTCAGAGACACAGAGACGGGACAGAGCAAGAGAAGGGAGACAGAAGATTCCAAACAAAAACAAAACAGAAAAACAAGGAAAGCAAGCAGGGAGCCCAAGAGTCACAGTGACAGAGACCAAGAGATCCACAGTGAGTCATCCAGACCAGAGTCCGCTCCAGCGCTCTTCACCTGGCTGGGGTCAGGACAGGCAATTAATTAATTAACTCATTAAGTCCTTAATTCAACAAACATTTGCTGAGGACTGCTGCTGTCCAGGGATGTGCTAGGTATTTTGGCAAGGAATGGGGGTAGTGAGTGCCCCAAAATGAGAGGAAAGCAAGGACAGAAGTGATGGCCAGAGTGGCTTGGGCCGGTGGGAAGACTACTTGGTCAGGTGTCAAGGGCTGGATGCGGGAGACCTGGTCAACCATTTTTCCTCTCTCGGTCTCAGCTGGTCTGTCTGTAAGTGGAGAGGGCAGGTGAACTAGTTTATTTCCAAGGTTCCTTCCACGTCAGATTCTAGGACTCTGTTTCTAGGAATGACTCTGAGAAGCTGCTTGGGTGCTGATGCCCAGGGATGGCCCCTCAACCATGGCTCAGGCCAGGAGTGGGGAAACCGCTTGGCTGAGGCCTCCAGAAGAGCTGGAGGAATCAGGACATCTGGATTCCAGACTTAGCTTTGACCTTGTTCTGTGTGTCTCTGGGCAGGTCACAGAATGTCTCTGGACCTCAACTTCATTCACCACCAAGTGGGTAAGACAATCCCAGCCAACCTATGAGAGCTTCATGAGCAACAGTGAGAAGGGCAGCAGAAGGGCTCTGCGGAGCACTGGGGATGAAAGTGACACCATCTCCCTTATCTGAGCACCTCCCATGCACCATGCTTTTGAGTGCTCACCCCCACCCATGAGATCATTATCTCCTGTTTTACAGGTGAGGAGTCTGGAGCTCTAGTCTCTGGAAAGCTGAGACCCTCCCCTCTCCAACAGCCCTCTGCAAAACTGCACACCGTCATGAGGTGTACGGCTGCTGTGACTGCTGGGCTTGGGCAGGCGGTGGGGACAGGGCCCCACCTCCAATCTGGCTACCTCTTTTTATGCTTCTCCCAGGATGACACCTTCCTGCACCAAAGGAAGCTCAGAGAACCTGCTATCCCCCAGAAGCCCTTGCTCAATCTAAGCTCCATCTAAGGGCTGGTAGGAGCACTGGCCTAGGGTAGGGGACCTGAGACTTGAGTGTGTCTCAGCTCACTCTCCAGAGTTTCTGGTTCTGCAGGTCTAGAGTGGGGCTGGAGAAGGAACCTAGCTAACGTGCCTCCAGGCGCTGCTGCTGCTGCTGCTGGTCCAGACACAGGCTTTGAAAACCACTAGCCTAGGGTACTGGGGGATTTAAGCTGGGTGACGACCAGAAATTCAAGGCATTGCTGGCTTCAGGAGAGGCCCAGCCACCTCTGGGGCAGCTACATCCTCAAATGAGACTCTCCTGATGAAGCCAGAGCTGTGGCGTTTGCTGCTGACTGAGGGCGGGAGAGAATGCCAGTAGGAATTGGAGTTGCATGACTTGGCTGTGACCTCACAGGGTCAGCTGAGGCCAGGCTGGGCCCAGGAGCTGGATATCCTGATGCTTAGTGAGAATGAGCACCATCGGGCCTCAGGCCCAGCAGCAGGGAAGATCCAGCATGCACATGGCAGGAGCCCAAGCCTTCAGGCTGGAAGACTCCCCAACACAAGACGCCCTTTCTCTTCTTTATTAGTGCACCCCTCTCTGGTTCCAACCTGGGGGCACGGAGAAAAGAGAAAGAGGGAGGCCTGCCACCTCTTGGCTGAGACTTTAGGCGGATGATTATCCCTCTCTGGGGCTTGATTTCCTGTCCTGTAAAAGGAAGTAACACTCCCCTTTTTCACCCAGGGTGATGAAAATTTAACAGATATGAACGTGTTTTACATTGCAGGGTCAAGATAGCTAAACAGTAAAGAACCTGGGCTCTGGAGCCAGACGTGCGGTCCAACCTTGGCTTCACTGCTTACCAGCTGTGTGCCCTTGGCCAAGTTACTCAACGTCTCTGTGCCTAAGTTTCATCATCAAAGGAGAATTCTAGTAATACCTACTTGATAGAGCTCTAGTGAGGATTTAGTGACTTAATGCACTTTGGACAGCATATGGAACAAAGCAGACTACCAATATCCACAATGCCCCGTTGGGTGCTAACATGTGACCGTGCCCCGGCTCAGGCCCAAGAGCGGTGGGAATTACTTCTGCACCAAAGGAATGACCCTCTGATGTGGGTCCAGTGCCTGTGGCAGAATAATGGGACATGCTGGGTGTTTCAAAACCTAGCACATGGACAGTACTTATTTTGCCTTAAGTAGGGCTGTCTCCAGACAGAATAGAACCAGCAGAGGTTCTAAAGGCCAACTGGCTATGAGGCCCACAGGCAAATCCGACCCAGTCTATTAGGTGAGACACGTCACAGTACTCGATGAATGACATAGTGAGGATGTGAAACGGAAGCCGTGTACCCGAGAGTAAGCAGCTTCTCTATGGGGGACCTGAGCCAGTCCACAGCCCCACTGCCCTTCCCCGGTACATGGTTTCCTGGGCCAATGTGAGGGCAGGCATGGAGCAGGCCCTGTGCTACCTGCCTCTCTGCTTTGGATGTCTTGAAATCTGTGATTTTCCCCTGAGATTTAATAATCATTTTGCCTACATGTAATTTGGGATTGTCTTGGAGTGCACGGAAATAATTATACACACAGAAGGAAAGAGAGGGGGAGAGAGAGAGTGGAGAGAGAAACGGAACCATGAAATCACAGAATCATACAACCTCCCAGCCAGAAGGGACTGCAGGCACGGTTGAGTTCACCTGTCTCAATGTGCCTGCTGATGGGGACAACGAGGCAGAGACTGGAGGCAGCTGAGCTGAGACCGGGGTGAGTCTTGATGCCTGGGCATTGCACCTTAAGACCAAGAATGACCCGCTACGGGGAGACCAAGAGGGACCCCTAGAGAGCAAGGGCAGGACTGAAGGCTGTGACAGAGCCTGCAGGCCTTGTGCCAAAGGTGTCCCCAACCTCTGTCCTGGCCACAGCCTTAGAGCCCCTGGCTGAAATGGCTGAAATACTGCACCCATCTAGTCTTCCCACTGACAGCAACTTCCTGCCCAGCTCTGGCTCCATGCTGCACCTAGGGAACTTTCTCATCAGCCAACAGGACCATGTTACCCCTCTGCTTCCAGCCCTTCCATGCTCCCCAAAATCCTAAGCCTCCCAAACATAACTCCCTACCCACCCCCTTTCCTCTCCAGCAAGCAGCACCCTGCCAGGCCTGCCTCCTCACCACCCCTACACACTCCACCAAGCTCACTTCTGCCTCTGGGCCTCACCTGACGCGCCCTCCCTCCTTTCCTACTTCCTCTGTCATCACTTCGAGAAGGAAGCCTTCCCCAATCCCCAGCTGAGGTCAGGTTCCCTAGGAAAGGCTCTCAAAGCACCCTGCACCTCTCCTTAAAATGCTATACATTATTTATCGCTGCTACAATTGTGCAGCGATATGTTATAATGTGGTTGATGTCCATCCCCCAACTAGACAGTAAACCCCATGAGGAGTGGGACTGGGTCTCTTTGCTCGCTGCTGTTTCCCCAGCTTGGCACAGGGATCGGCACATTCTGCAAACACAGCTGTTGGATGAGGGATGAGTTTTAGACAGATGGCTTAATAAAAACTGCTGGGGGCTTCTTTTCTGAGGAAGAGTTCCGTAGTCCTGGACAACCCCATATTGCCAGACCCAACCCTCTCTCCAGCCCTGGCTGAGCCCCCTCTCCAAGGGAAGTCAGATTCCATCGAGCCATTTCTGTGTTCCTTAAGGCCCTAGAGCCAGGACTGAGGACCTGGAGTCCCAGGATTAGCATCCTGTACCCCAGGGATTCCCCGCCACACCCCCCACCCTGCCCCCCCCTCCCCTGACAAGCTGCCACCTCCTTCCCTCTCTCCCAGCTCCCCAAGGCAGCTGGTTACATAACTGGGGATTCTGCATTATTTATGACCACTGATTATTTTTTAATTCTGTGATTACGTTATTATCTTCCTGGGGGGGCTGTGGAGTTGAGGGGGGAGAGCGAGCTGACCATGATTCACGGCTCTCATCCTGCAATTTGGCTTAATTGGCCAGGGAGCTTCAGTAAATCTGTCCGGAGGAGGAGAAGGCAAAGGGAAAAGGGAGGAAAGGAAGGCGTGAACAAAAATAATAAGAAAAAAATCCGCGCAATTCTTGCTGAGCTGCGGGTGATGGAGCTGACCCACTTTGGCACAGCTCCGTGGTCCCCAGCCTCTCCTGCTCCAGCTGCTTCCTGGCTGGGCCACATTTATCTCACACTTGCACGGCCTGTGGCTTTCCCTGCCACCTTCAGACAAAGCCCCTTGCTGACGGGGCTGCACAATGGAATGGCCAGGAAACAGAATGCCAGGATGCCTGCTTCCTAGGCAAACCAGGTCGGGGATCCTCCAAGGCCACCCCAGGCTGGGAAAAGGTTGTGGCAACGCCTCCATCCTCCTGAGGTGTTTAGGCCAGGGTGGGCAACTGTGCCCTTAGTTACATCCCACCCAAGAGTCACTGATGATGTGGAAGACACAGGTGGTGTTATTGCAAGGATCACATCTGAGCCTCCATGTTGAGTGACACCTGGGAGGGGGGGAACCAAGGATGAGGAGGCCAAGCACCTGCTCAAGGTAAGTTGAATACCCTGCCCTTGGGAGCTTCTGGTGGGTGGGTAACAGGGGAGCAGTGGGGAGGCAGATTCCCACCCAGAAACATGACCAGCAGATTCCTGGAGAGTGTGGGATTCTCGCTGAGAACGAATCCACATTCCATGCCATGCTCTGCATGGCTCGATGGAATCTGACTCCCTGCTCCCTCTTTGACCTTTCCTCTGCTCTTCTTGTTCACTGCCCTCCAGCTGCTCCAGATTCCTTACGGAACCTGAATATGCCAAGCACACTTCCTCCTTGAGACCTTGGCACTGGCTGTGCCCTCAGCCTGGAATGATCTTCCCCTAGATAGCCATGCGACTGGTATCCTTGCTTCTGTGGGGTCTCTGTCCAAAGGCCACCTTATTGGAGACCCCCTTCCTGCCCCCATCCCTGTCACTCTCTATTCGATTTCCCCTCTGGCAGGAAGTGAGACTGCCGACTGCAGGAGAAAATAAGGAGCCCCAGCCAGGAGGCCAGGACGTGGTCCTGCCCTCCCTGGTCACGGCTAAGAAGCTGACGTGATTCCAGAAAACAAGGCCATACGTGGAGCTGAGAAGCAGGCCACTGCTAGCATAATTCATTAAAAACATCTCACAGATACGGAGTGAGCTTCATGCCCATCATTGTGCTAAGTGCTTTATATATGTCTCATTTAATTCTCACAACAACCCTGGGGTTGGGGTAGGAGAGGAGGCATAAAATGTAGTCTCCCCATGTTTGCAGACAGAAAAACAGAAGCACAGAGAGGTAAAGTAACTTTCGCAAGTTCACACATCTCGGGAGAGAGTGGAGCTTGAAACTGAGCTGCAGGCATCTGGCTGCAGAGCCCCTGAGCTGTTCTGCATCTCTAAATTAAGATCTACAGAACTTTGAGGAGCTTAGAGAGCCTGCTGGGAGTGGCCCAGTATCTCGGAGTATTGGGGAGCCTGGGAGAGATAAGGGCTAATTAATGATTGACCATCATATCCCTCTGCAGCACAATTTCAGCTTTCAAAGCACTTTTACATTCCTCACCTCACTTAATCCTTTAAAAGACTTTCCCCACCTATGGGATAGAACTTGCTCATCACCCAGGGAGCCAGTGGCAGAGCTATAGCAGGGGTTTGAGAGGGCGAGGGAGGTGTGGGAGAGGGAACTCCAACTCCTCTAGAAGAGTGAGTAGGTATTGACCGCCCCCCTACTGCATGCCAAACCCCCGATAAATCTTTGTAAGATCAGCGTGCAGTGCAAATCACCACATCCCAATTTCAGAGATGAGCAAACTGAGGCTGAGGGACTTGGGAAGGAAGTGGTTTGGGGTCACTCATCTTTCAGTGAATTTCAGGCTGTATGCTCAAGAGGGTGAGGAGGGTCTGCCATGATCAGTGGCATCGGGGGGCTGGGGAGGGGGAGCAACAGAAAGAGGAGGAAGATGGCCAAGGGGAAAAAAGCTAAGCCCTTCTACTCTGCTGGCCTTGTTCTTTCACCAAGCATCTGTGCAGCCCCCATCCCCAACAGTCTTGTATGTGACTCTCATCTGCACTTCTAAGTGCTTTGCCTGAAACAAGAACCCAGTTGGTGGGCTCTAAGCTGGTGCTGCCCAGGCCATGGGGTGATTTGAGGGAACAAGTGAGCGCCTCTCAACCTTGAGCCTACCCACGCCCCTGATGAAAAGATGCTACACAAAGGGACTGAGGAGAGCCAGGCAGATTCAGCTTTACAGCTCCCTTGAAGAACCAAGAGCCAAGACCACAGGTTCCAGAGAGCAGGGAGGTTCCAACCCTTTTCTCTAAGCCAGAGTGTGGCACCCCCACTTGGTAACCTGATCCCCCACAAATCTCATCTCACAGGGAGACAGTGATGGCATCTCTTCTTCTGCCTGGGCCTCCCAGAGCTTGACCTACCTTCCTCTACACTCCCCTCTGCCCATCACCCTGTGTCTAGACCCCGCCTGGGGGATGAGAGAGTTCTGAGGCTTACCCACCCCTCCCCAGCTGGGTGCCATTGGCAGCGGGCAGGCAGTGGCATACGGGGTAGGCTCTGGTTGCCGTAGCAACCTGCCAAAGTCTTGGGTGGAGGCACATGGCCTACAGGGTGTGTGGGGGGAGGGGACTCATTTTTCTCTGTCCTGGCTTAGGCCTCTGGGCTGCATAGCCTGTGAACCTGGAGCTCTAGTATTGGAAACATGGGGGTGGGTGAGTGTGAAAGGGAAGGAGAGGGCATCTAAAAGATCTGCAAATAAATCTGAGAGCTATTGCATCACAGATGAGCATCAGGGATCATCTCTGGAAGGCCCTTGTCAAAATGCAAAGAGATCGCCCAATAGCTCACCTGCTGAAACCCCAGGACAGGCATCAGGAACCCGAGTTTTAGGCTTACTTCTGCCACTGGTACGCTGTATGATCTTAGACAAGCCCCTATGGCTCTCTGGGCCTCAGTTTCTTCGATAGTGAATGGACACGGCTGGTCTGGATTACCTCTGACCCCTTCAAGCTCTGGGTGGGTATGCTGAGGGGAGAGGGAACGCAGGTGCCTGGAAGATGCCCAGTTGGGAAAAGGCTGGGAGTTGTATCAGAGTTGACTCCCAGGCTTAGTCAATTCTGGCTTTTTGTAGCTACCTGCCAGGGCATAGGTCCCATGTCCCTGGCCAAGACTGAGACTTTGAACAGTTCCCATGGCCCTGATCTAAAATAAGAAGGGGGCAGGGGGAGACTGTAGTGCCTTGGACCCAAGAGGTTGGAAGAGGAGGGGTTGCTCAGGGTCATCTGGCCTTTGACTTCCAAATTGTACTGTCCAAAGATGTGCAACCCAGACTATGGCCAGCCCAATCCATGGGCAGAAGTGCCACCAACTCAGTCTGCCCAAAGCAGCAGCCATTCACACCTTCTGAGATGGGATTTCCTGGCAGGCTCCCTGAGGCTGACCCTGGACAGCTCCTGTCCTGGTATCTCTATGTCCACCACCTACCCCATTCTGAACACAGTGCCCTTCAAGCAACCCCTGCTCCTCGGCTCTCAGGCCAGGCTGGAATGCCACTTTGCCAGCCTGGAGTTGGTACCCACCATCACCCCACCTCTTCAGCCTTCCTAGATCCTCTATCCTCCCTGCACAGCTGGCCAGGGAGAGCCTGAGCCCATAACTCCAGCTCAATCACTCTCCCTGCATCTCTGCAGGGGCCCTGGTTACAAGGAGTTGAAATTTGCCTAAAGCCCACCTGGCTGGTATAATGGCACCCAGCGGGCAAATTCAGGCTAGCGGCTCAGAACGCTGGTCATGCATTTTGGACTCGAACGCAGCCCAGGGGGCAGGGCCGAGGACATGTGTACCTCATTACCCCAGCGATGTGAGAAGCAGTAATTAAACCAGGCTCCACTTAGAAAGACAGAGAGGGACACACACATCCCAGCATTCTCAGTGGCTTTTCAGCCTTGGCAAAAAATATTCAGAACAGTGGGATGAAGATGCTCATCCCCTTAGAGAAGATTCCTGCCTCTGCCAAAATATGCAAGGAACTCTGTTACCAACTACAGCACCCTCAGCCCCATTCTTATCTCAGGACAAAGAGGACACAGCTGGCTTAAATTTTTCTAAGATCAAGGGTTCTCGGTATCTGTGTGATTTCTGGAGATGTGCTTTGAGCTGGGCCCTGAGCAGTGGGAACCACCTCAGCAGAACCATCTGCACTCTCCCAGGGCCCCTTGTGACCAGGTCAGAGTCTTAGAGACAGATGTGGGGTCAAGGGTCAGCTTAGGTCTCAGAAGGGTGTCTTCCATACTAAGAAGCTGTAGAGGGATTCAGTCCTTACTGGCCATCTTGGCAGCCCTGCATGCTCACCCAGAGCTCCAGGCCCACTGACATGCGGCTCAAGCAACCTCTGTAACACGAAGGCCCCTCCAGCCTTGTGGTCTGATGAGATTTTTAGCAAAGCAGATTTGGGGAAAGGAGAGCAAGGAGAAAGGAGGTCCCCAGTAGAGCGACACACGTGCATGCAGCTTTGCACACTCCAACACGTGTGAGTACGTTTTTGCGCCAAGCCCAGGAAGGCTGGCCTGGGGTCTGTCTGGTCCCTGCTCACCCCTCACTTACCTCCCTCAGCTCCTTGGCCACCTCCTTGAGCTCGCGAAGGATGCCCTCAAGCTGCCCGATGACCATCTTCATGCGCTGTCGAATCCGCTCCCGCTCACCACCACTGCTGGGGTCGTCACTGGGCTGCCCGAGGTCCGGGGCCCCCCGAATGTTCATCGTTTACCACGTGGCCGCAGGCCTGCCCATACTCCCCCCAGCTGGGCACACGCTGTGTCTGCCTCCACGGAGCCCCCGTCGTCGGCTGGGCAGAGCTCCACATCTTAACGGCCCCCCAGCCCACCCTGGCCCTGGGCGGCCCTCAACCAGCCCCTGCCCCCTGCCACCCCGCCTCCTCTGCCTCTGGGTGGGGAGTGGGACACCCAGAGGGAGACAGAGTCTGGCAGAGGGGGTCAAGGTGAGGACACAGGAGGGCAGGGGGAGGGACCTTGGGTCCCAGGAGTGGCCTCCAGGACTTGAAGTGCCTGTGGGTGTGCAGAGCTGATCTCTGCCTGAGCTTGAACAAAGAGGCAGGGGGATGACTCTGCAGGGACTAAGGGTAGGAGATGCCCTTGGGATGGGGGAAGGCAGAAGGGATCCCCTCACAACTCCTAGGCAGTTGCAAAGGCAGAGGTCTCTGGATGCAACTGACACCTGCAGAGGGATGGTGGCCAGGGTCTTCCAGATGTGGAGGGGGCTCCAGTTATGGGCAGCTCTGGGGAGGGAGCTGGATTGGAAGAGGGCAGCCCCCTGCGGAGAGAGCGAGCCTGGCGTCAGCCCTCCCAGGCTGCAGCACCAGCCGGCAATGCCGCTACCTCCCTCCTCTCGCCAGCCTGCACCCTTCCTAGCTGGAGATTTTTTTTTCTTTGTGGGGAGGGGTGGTGGAGGCAGATGGTTTACTGCATAGCCCCTCCTCTAGAGGGAAAGGGAGGGAGCCCCCTGCTCTAGAAGCAGAAGTCCTCAGCCTGCTATGGGGCACCCTGGTCGTAGCTCCCACCCCCCCAAAACCCCCAGCCAGGCCTGGCAAGGCTGGTTCGCCAGAGGGCCTCTTCAGTCACCCATCCTCCCTCCTAGCGCCCCCAGGGTGCCCTCATTCCCAGCAGACCCTCCCTCTCCCAGCCCCGCCTTCCCTCAGAACCCCCCCCACTGGACTCACCGAGGGTGAGGGCACCGGCCTTCCCTCCAAGCAGCGTCGGGGGCCAAGCCCCAAAACGGGGTTGGGGGCCCCCCAAGGCTCCCTAGGGCGGGCTTCTCTCTCTGGACCCTTCGGCCCCTGGCCTCAGGGAGGTCCTCCGAGCAGTGGCCGGAGACATCTGGGCGGTGGGAGGGGGCGGGGCCTCCGCGCTCCAGGGAAGGGGGCAGGAAAAACCTTTCTCAAGCCTCTCCAGGCTCGGGGTCGGGAACGAGCGAGGGTCCGGCGGATTCCGGGCTCCGAGGCCACAGGTGACCGGGGCGCGGGGAGGCCGAGGAGATGCCGGGCCGGTCCCAGCGCGTGAGCCAAAGTCGGAGGGCTGGGAGGGCGCCGGGATCCCCTCAGCCCACGCCCGGCATTCCCCGGGCTCGGCTCCGTCCGGGATTCGCTCTGTCCAGTCCAGATCGGCCGGGTCCGGGTTCCGCTGGGGTCTGCCCTGCCCTACCCGGCCCGGAGTGAGCTGGCACCGCCCGGGACGCGCTCAGCCCGGACCCAGAACGTCTGCGCCCCGGCACCCCCGGCGTCCAGAGCGGCTGCGAGGGTCCGCTCAGCCCAGCCCCGCGGTCGGCCCTGGGCGAGATCGCTCCCACGGCTCGGTTAACGTTCCGAAAGGTCCGGAATCCGCCGGGTCCCTGGGGAGGGGCGGTGTCCGCCGCGGGGACCCAGTCCCCGCCGGGCCCAGCCGAGAGCGCGCGAAGCCGGGGGCCCGGCCGGGCTGGGTTCGGCGGCCGGGGCGCAGGCGGGAGCGGCGCCCGGCTGAGGAGAGGAGAGGAGGCGAGAAGAGGCGAGGGGAGGAGGCGCGGCGAGGGGAAGGGAGGGGAGGGGAGGGGGCGCGCGGCAGGCCGGGCCGGGCCGGGGCGCACAGAGCTCGCAGCCTCCGCTCCGCTCCGCTGCCTCCCGCCCGCTCGCTCTCGGCTCCCCGCCTCGGCAGTCCCCGGGCGCCGGGTCGCCGCCGGTGGGGCAAACAGGCGCCGGGTCGGGGCTGGGCCTCCCTCCACCGCCTCGCCCTGCCCTGCCCCGCCGGGCTCCGGGGCCTGGGCCCGCTCCCCGAGCGCCGCGGCGCTGAGCCGCCCGCGCCCCGGCCGCCCCCGGCCCGCCCCGCCGCCCCCCGCCGGACTGGCCGCCCGGGCGGGCGCTGGCTCCCTTAAAGGCCGCCCGGCTCGCTCGGCTCCGCTCGCCTCGGCGCTGTCAGGGAAGGGGCCGGCCCGCCGCGCCGGGAGGGAGCTTTTAAAGCGACACACACGCCTCCCAGTCCCGAGGGCCGAGCGCGGCAGCCGGCGGGGGGTTGGGGGTGGGTTGTCTCGCCACGCAGGCGAAAGGGAAGGGTCTTGCTGGCGGGGCTGGAGGCGGACTGACCCGACCCCAAGCCGGCTGACCTGGGGCGCGGAGCTTAGTTCCTTTCCCACCTTTCTAGACACCCCCATTGCCCCTTCCCCTACTGCGCTGCCCCCAAACCTCCCTTTAGGCTACGTATCTCTCATCCAGACCCTCCCTTCTACCCCCTACATAACTCAAACCCCCGACCCTGCCTGAAATCGCATTAATTCAGAAAGCAGAATACTGCCAATCTTTCCTGAGCACTTACTGTGTGCCAGGCTCTGGGTGGGCAGGGCTGGGGGCTGGAGGCTGTCTTGGACACCCATCGTTTCCTTCAGCTGTTCAACCACTGACTCATGTATTAGAGATCTCCTGGATATCGGGCTCTGTGCTAGGCTCCGGGGCCACCGGAGCATGGAGCATTTCAGGCAGCTCACGGTTCCGAGACACTCCTGAGTCACAACAGAGGCAAGTTCTGGAAGCAGTGTTAACTTCGGGGTAGAGAAGTGTGTGTTGGGGGATGGGGTGCAGCACAGGCCAGGGCCTGGCAGGTTCTCCCAGGCAGGCAACCCCTGCGCTGAATCTCTAAGGAGGAGTGGGAGTGACTGTCAGTGTGGGGGGTGGGGATCAGCATTCCAGGCAGGGAGGAGGGTGGGAGCAAGGGCTCAGGAGCAAAAACGGGAGGAGGGGAGTTTAAGTCAACTGTGGCCTTTTACATACCATTTTGGCTGCTCTGTGAAAAGTAGATTAGAGGAAGACCAGACCACAGAGAGACTCAGAGACCATGCCTAGGAGCTTAGATTTTATCCCAGGCGGAGGAAGCTTTGACGTTGGGAGGAACCTATGCCTGCTTGCCTTCTCAGGAGATCCCTCTGGGGCATTGTGGATGGTGGGCTTGTGGGGTGCCACCGAGACAGAGCAGTTAGGATTCTGTTACAAGGCTGGCCGGGAGACAGTGGAGTCTATGAATCTATGCTCACGAGAGAGGCTGGGCTTGAGAGTAATGCTTTGTTTGTTTTTTTGAACCATCATTGGAGGGGATGAGATGAACAGGGACACTGTGTAGAAGTAACAAAACAGTACTTCCCTGCTGGAACCTGGGAAAAGAGTCCATGAGTGAGAGGGAGGAGTGGTTAGGAAGGAAGGAGAAGAACCAGAAAGTGGTTATGTAGGCCCAGGGGAAGGAGTTTAGGAGAAGCAAGTGCTCATCAGTGTCAAAGCTGCAGGGAGTGGCTGTGAGAGAAGAACAGAAAGCTTCCATTGGTCTTGGTCCTCAGGAGGCCACAGGTGACATGGCAGGGGCAATTGACTTTGGAGGGTAGAAGGTGACAGGAGCCAAACTGTTGGGCCCCGAGGACTGTGTACCCAACAGTGAGGAACAGGAGTGAGTACAGATGACATTTTCAAAAGTTCAAATGACAGGGAAGTAGAGATCTTGCACTAGAGGCAGAGGAGAGGTCAAGGGAGGTGGGGCTAGATGGTGGTTTGAGGCTGGCCCATGGGGGGCTTGAATTCCAGAGACAGTGATGGTATTGTGGGTGCTAATGCTGTTCCTTGGTCCCTGAGTTACCTTCACAGGGGGCTGCTGGAGGAACTAACTCCTACTTCCTTAAGATTCAGCTGAGGGAGTGACCTTTGGAGAACCAGAAGCTGTGAGGGTGGGAATCCAGCTGCCCTGGGTTGGGGAGAGGTTCTCCTGAGCGGGTAGATCTAGAGGACCCACCAATCACTTTAAAGAAAAAAAAAAACTGTAGCAAAATACAATACACATGACATAAAATTTGCCATCGTAACCATTTGTAAGTGCATAGTTCAGTGGCACTAAATACATTCACATCGTTGTGTGACCATCACCACCACCCATCTCTAGAACCTTTCCATCATCCCAAACCGAAACTCTGTGATTAAGAGCTGATAGCAGCCGCTACGTATGGAGCCCCTACCAGGCACCAGGCACTGGGCCAAGGACTTCCACGTGCGTTCTCTTATTCCATCTCACAGCAACTTTCCATCGCCCCTCCTCCCGCCAGCCCCTGGCAACCACCATTCTACCTTCTGTCTTGGTGACTCTGACTACTCTAGGTGCCTCATAGAAGTGGAATCATACAGTCTCACCAATCACTTTGGTGGAAGTGGTGATGCTAAGGAACAGCTGAGATCCAAAATGGGCTGAGCCTGAAAAAAAAAAAAAATGAGTTTCTAGTCTTAAGTCCAGGGAATCATCCGCCCTCCTCCAGGATGAGTGAGATGTGTTTGAGCTGGCAAGTTTAGGAGATAGTGAGCTTGACTGGAGAGGGTGGACCATGACTGCTTAATACCTAATTGATCTTGGGTCTCATTAATAGAAGCACAGTGTTTTGAAAAGGGGAGGTGACATTTCTTCTCTCATTTGTGTGGATCCAACCGTGCCTAGCACCTCAATTCATTGGGTGTGTCCATAGGAGGGCAGCCAGGTAGAAGAGGGGAGGAGACTGGTGTACATATCCTGTGAAGAATGGTAGGGCTGGTCAGGGCAGGCTAGAGAAGGGGAGACTCAGGAAAAGAGGTCTCTGTAAATTTTCAAAGAGCTGTCACAGGCGACAGATGAGAAGAAATAGATAGTATCTGGCTGGTGCTCAGACCTGCCTTCATTAGTGTTTGGGGGTTGATCCATCTTCTCCTCCACCCAACCTCCCTGGCCACCTGTCTAGATAGCCCATGCTTTAGATCTCTGCTTATTCACCCCCAACCCCCATCCCCTAGGCAGCCTTCCCTAATGCTTTAGTCTACAGAGAGAAATAGAAGCCTTCTTTTTGCCCTTAACCAAATACTTCCCAGGACATTCATTGAATGTGCTAGCTGTGTGACCTTGAGCAAGTCACTTAACCTCTCTGAACAAGGATGGGCACCTAAAAACATTTTAATTGTTTCTTGCATTGGCTCTCTTGCCAAAAAAAGAGGGGAGGGGAGGATGTATTTCACCATCTCTCTGATTCACAAAATTCAGGATAGTAATAGTATCTACTTTCCAGGGTCATTGTGAGCATGGAATGAGATGATGCATGTGGAACTGCTTGGCTCAGTGCCTGGCACCTGGGAGGTGCTCTGTAAATGGTAGCTGCTATCAGCTCTTATTCACCACTTCACGTCTGTAAGCCTTATTTCCTCGTGAGTCTGTGAACTCCTCATGATGGGTCTGTGTGTCTGCCCTGTCTCTCACATGGACCAGTGCAGTAGACAGTAGGCAGGGGTTTTTACCGCTGTAGCCTGTTTTCCACCGTCCAATTCTAGCATTCCTTTCCTTCGGGAAACTCCCTGCTGTCATCACATAATCCTAGTAGGTTGTCAGTTAAAGTGCCCACTACTCCCACCCATCCCTATCCCGCTGCCACTAAGTGGGCATGTGACCCAGACTGCACCAACCATGGAACCCCATCCTCCAGCGACAGTGATTGGCCCAAGGGGTGGGCACATAACCCAAGCAGGACCAATCAGATTCTTTCCCTGGGATTGATATGTGGATGCTGGGAGGAAGAAGCCCTCTTCCTAGTGGGTTGCAAAGCTGGATGCTATGGCCCAAAGCTGCTGACAAGCAGTCTTTCCCACTCAATCTAGGAAACCAAGCAAGGCAGCAGAGAGGAGAGGAATTTAGAGAGCATGCAAGCAGCATTGAATCCCAATTTTGGTTCTCATGGCCTTCACTCCTGCTGTTCTTCTTTCAGTCCTGTGGGCTACAACAACATTCTACCCCTCTATAAAAGCCAATAAATTCCTCATATTGCTCCAGCT